GGCGTGTGGCACCGCTTTCAGTTCAGTACACCCTATCCTAAGTGTGTGGAACGGCCGTTCTTGCCAAAAAGAGCCTTGATCAACCACTAATTAGATATGAAAGTCATGTACTTGAGAGGGGTGCCCCAATCACTTGCATGTTCCGACATGTTCTTTTGCCAAACGGTGATGCTCAAAGTCGATTGTGAGGGCATCATCAAATGTGGAGTGTGCAGTGTGAGGGGCAGATACCATGTAATGAAGTTACTTGTAGTTAATTGTGCGAACTGGCAAACACTTCTTCAGCAATTGTCAGCGGCAGGACTGGATGTCCATCAATGTGAAGAGAATAAAGGCTGGCCAAACAGCCTTTCTTGTTCATGCTTGGGCATGGTGGTCCTGCTGCTGAGCTGCACTGGCCACTTGATCAGTTGCACAGTCAGCTACATTGTCCAAAAGCTACGTGCTGGAGTCTCGGGGTGTTCAATGGCTTGAAACACATGTTTTCACCCACTGACCGCTTCATGACTGCTTGCAGAGCCTCCACACAGCGCAAGGCGCCGGAGAACGACACCGAACCGCCGGACGATTTGCATGAGCTGTCCAAAGAGACGGACTGCCAGTGGGTCGAGTGGGTGGATGAAGGACTTGGACCCAACTCACGCGGGAAAGACGTATTCAAAAAGGTTCGTGCAGCATCAAGAGCAAAACCAGTGTTTCTAATTCTAATTGTTTCCATGTCAATGTGTACCCACATGATCGCTTTGGGCCCCTGCTCAACAAGGAAGGAAACACCACACAGAGTTCCTGGGGTTGGCGTATGGGTTTACCTTAACCTGTTTCGCAGAGCAGCTTGCCTAACTTCTCTGCAGTAATGTCCCATGTGACCAAGCTGTGGACCTTCACGCGTGAACGTGTTTGTTTGGCCTTTAGATGCTACTGTAACTATAGATGTTAGTTTTGTGCCACAAACCTGGCATTTGCTTCCACCGCGCTTGGCACTTGGTTCGAACTCGCCCGAAACAGGGCCCTTGAGTCACCACATGAGGCCACGTCAAAAGAAGCGTTTGCGTTGCACGCTTTTCCCCCC